AAAGAAAGATATCCCACCTTTCCAATCCTCCAAGAAAGGTGATTCCATAAAATCCATTACAAAATGTTCTAAAGTTCCATTGCATATACCACAAGAACAATATTCCTAACCAGCATTTATCCAGTTTGTCGTGATTTTCTGAACTACACTTCAGTGTGAGGACTGGTTCCTACAACTTCTACAGAGATGTTTTTTTCATAATTTTTTTTTAAAAGACTGAAGGATAATTTCGCATTATGAAAGTAATACAGAGGAAGGAAAGAAGGGGGGAACGTAAGGCACGAATTAAAATAATCTTACATAGTCAGGATACTTGCCACTTGATACCTCCTGAAAAGGAGGTATGTGTTCGCTTCATCATCATGTAAAATATATCCCTTCACTTTTATTCCATAAGTCTAAAACTAATGCCTTCATTCTCTTACAAGGTGGAATACACTCCATAAAATCTCACAAACATCGCTGCCTCTATCATTATATTATCCTGGAACCAGGAACCGTATACTTACTCTTCCCTTAATATTCTCGAGGCACAGAATTTTGGTAGACCCAGGAGAGTATGTGCACTTAGAAATTCACCATAGATCTTCTACTTCCCATCTGAAACCCCTGTTCACAAGCAGACTCTCACTGCCTCTCACCTTCTTTCATCTTGAGGAATTGTCATTAATTGTAATAATGTGTGCACAATTAAAGCCTAATGAAGTATCAACTACATCCTTAAACTTTTCTTCATATTTAGAATTACTTGAAAGCTTCTTCCTAGCAGGCATTGCACTTGGAAATTGAGTTCTTCAAGCATGACAATGTTGTCAAAGGAAAGAGTGTTGCTGTTTTTCTTTCATTTTATAGCTAAGAGGTTGCAGACCAGCCTTTTGTTTTCATAATATCATTCCATCTTCTCTTTCAAAAATGTAGTTTTGGTTGGCTCTTTAAAAACATCATTAGTTATTCTACTTTGGGCATGCTTTCTCCACTCTGGATTTTTTTTTCTGGGTTTGATTTGTTGGGGTTTGTTTTCCGTTCTTTGTTCTGTTTCTGGATTTATTTTTTTTTAAATTTAATTTTTCAGTATTTCCTCTTCTCTACTCAACCAAATATGTTCAGCATTTTTAAATAATCTAAGACATGCCTCACTCAATTCACTGAAAGACTGAAATTTTTTAATGTGCATTTGTTTTATGTCTGTCACACTCTGTGTTTTACAATGTAAATTTGCTTTCTTGAGGATGATTACATGTCGCTTTGATGAGAAACTCCTATCTGCTTTGTCTGGTAGTTCTGAACTTGAAGAATATATTTGCAAACAAAGGATATTCTGTATTGACAAATGAAAAGAGATTTGTGTCTGTTGGTCACAGGTCTTCCACTGCAAGCAAAAAATTGTTGCTGTTTCTTCTGTATCCCACACAGAGACCAGAATAAAATAGGTATCAAGACAGTAAGTCTGCTATGTGCTCTATTCAAAATGTGTCTAATCCTCTCTACTATTAATTCTTCTTTCTGAGGGTTTATTGGTTATATTGCAATAACTTTTATGGAAGCTTTTATCAGACTTCTGTAACATAATTCACTTATCCCTCTTGTCTACACAGGGATAGGAGAGACAGTCTTTTGGAATTATATATGTTCTATTTCTCTTGAGATTTTTCTCAAGCACAGCAAGAGTAGCTTTTACTGTAAAAGCTTACCAGTAAAGAAATAAAGTAGAAAAGTTGCTATCTTCTCTAGTTCAACAGGATTTTTGCTGTTGTGGATTTTTTTACTTCCCATATAAAGAACTGGGTAAATGGTGTATATTGCTTTATCATCACCCCCGATTATTTAAATTAATAATTGTAATTGCTATAATATATTAATGAAATATAATTACTTATATAGTAATTTAACATAACCAACACGTGAAATTAAATATGATTAAGGTCTTATAATAATATATTTCTTGCAAAAAGTAAATCCATTTACATAGACTTTTAAATAACAATCCATAGTGAAACATGAACTGAATATTAAGACTGTCAATTGAAAAATAATAAAAATAATTTTAATTTCATGCAACCTTCAGAATTTTTGGGAACATTCTACTTCTTTAATGAATTTCCCTTAGATTTGATTATACACATATACTACAATTTTTTTGTAGACATAAGATTGGATCAGGTGAAGATGAAGGAGAAAGTTACTTTATCATTAAATATTTTTTAAAGCTAAAAGTTGTTAATAAAACCACTACTTTTATTATGGACAAAAATTTGTCTCTTTGAGATCCAGTTTCATCTAACAAGACTGTGTAATGTTCTTGGACTGTGAATTTTATTTATGATTTTAAAAATGTAAACAGAAGCTGTTGTTAAAGGTCTTATTTCATTTTTTTTTACTTTTGGCACATTTTGTTAAAAGAAAATAAGCTACATGAATACATACAAATACTAAAGTAGTTATAAAAATTTCCTATTTTGGTATTATTCTGCTATTTTATTATTTTAAAAATCCTTCCTATATGTAAAACAAAACCAAAACTACTTTATAACATGCAAAATGCCTTCAATAGTCAAGATAAATTTCTGGATAACAGAATATTACACAATTCTTTTAAACAGAAATGAAGAAAGTTTTCTAATGTTCCAAAGTGCACTCAAGATCTTGTTAAGCCTTTAAAGTCCTTTGACATTTTATGTTACTGTAACAATTCATCCTGAATCTCATGCATTTATGGCTAAAAATGGTCATCTACTGTTTAACATACAATAATCCAGATTCCAACTTTAAATACTTAGTCTGCTTAGCCTATAAATTCAATAAGACATTAAAATGTTTTCCTACCTTAAAACAAATAAGCTGATTATGGACTGTTCTTATAACTGCTATTTCAAGTAAACATTTTTTTTCAACTTAATTAACATAAGACGATTGAGAATAATATAGTTTTCAAGACTTCCTAAGTCTTGAGAGCATTCCTACTGATAGCTAGGATTTAGTGACTCCAGGCTTCCAGATTGTTTGCAAAGAATAGAAGAGACACAAGCATTCTGTACTAGAAAAGAGCTTTCAGGATGCCAAGGCTCCCTTGTTCCAAGAAGTCATATTCTTGTCAAAATAAGAATGTATGCATCAGCCTTTAATTGCTAACAGGCTTTTGAAGAATGTAACAATCAGTAAGGGAAAAAAATGCACATATATGTTCTCAATTGTTCTGTAATATAGCAGTATGCAACTTCTTCGTGAGGGAAAAAGGAGGGGAAGTCACTAATTCCTTCTCTGTGGTGACCAGTGGAAAGACACATGGAAATAGCCTGAAGTTGTGTCAGGGAAGGTTTAGGCTGGATATTAGAAAAGGGTTCTTCACCCAGAGGCTGTTATGGCATTGGAACAGGCTCCCCAGAGAAGTGGCCCCAGTACCAGTGTAAAGGAGCTCAAGAAGCATTTGGACAATGCTCTCAGGCTCATGGTGTGATTCTTGAGGATGGGTCCTGTTACAAGGCAAGGAAAAGTAGGCTTTGGTGATCCTTATGGGTCTTTTCCAGCTCAGTATATCCTGTGATTCTGTGATTATATGATTCTGTATTTTCTAAGTAATTTTCTTGTTATCTTTTTACCTTTTTACCTTTTAATAGGAATCAAAGTGAAAACTTTCTTGAAAACTCACACAAAGGAAGTATCAGGCTACTCAGAGTAATTCTGCTCAAGTTCACCATTATGAATTTACATGTCCAAAATACAGTTGAAATAAAGTCCAATTTTCAGTTTTTATAACAATCATATATATATCTTTTAAAACAATGAGACAAAAGTACAGATTTTTTTTGCTGGTATTTTTATGGTTATATATACTTGTACTGTACAAAGAAATAATTGGTAATTACCTTTTCAGTGCCAAGCAAATCTAATTTTTGGTGTCTACTGTAAACTGTATTAAAGATATTGATTGATAATTACAAAAACAAACTCCAAAATAACATGTAGTGTAAGCATTTAAAATAGCTAAGTAAACTGATTAACTAAACATTAGCAAATTTATTGCTTAGTTTTTACACTGCAGGAGCTTTTTCACCATAACTTATTCCTCAATGTATTTAAAATATATAGGTTATTAGAATATGCCTCTGAGATAAATGGCAGAAGGTTTATTTTTATATTTGTTAAGCAACTGACTATATAATGACACGTTTACAAGTTCTTGGTGATTAAAATTCATTTTTGCTTCTAAAACGAAAGAGATGTATGGCATTGATCCAAATTGTGTCAAAATAAATGGAAAAATGCTTTTAACTTGAGTAGGATGAATCAGATTCTTGTAGAACAAAGACAAAAAGAAAGGAAACAGAATAACATATTTGAGAGCTCTATATGAGTACCGATAAAAAAATGTACAGCATGAATACATTTTCAGGTATGCATTAATTCACTAGAAGTATATTACCTGAAACCATACACTTACCAGCATTTTCCAAGGTTTCGCAGTAGAATATGAAATTAGACATTTCTGAGATACTTGGCTTAACTATTTACTTTCAAAAATCATGATAAAAATAATTGAAATCAGTTTCTTATATTACATCAATCTATGTAACGTTTTATTCTGTTATTTATTATGTATATTGGCTTGCTACCAAATTGCTAGTCTTTGTTTTCTTCCTTTTAAGACCTTATCTCTTTTAATTTCTTCTTGATTTGAGTAGGTTTCATGTCACGTAACTTGAGCCACTTGGCAGAGTTATTAGCTCCACTTGTGGTCAATAAACAGATCAGTTTCCACAGAAAAATATAAATCTATGAGAGAATGCAAAGAGTCATTATGCTTTCTCCACTAATTTGAGAGAGAGCAAAAAAAATGGATTAGAGAACTAGTTTTTAGAAGCTTAAAGTCAGATAATGTGAGACAACTGTAGATACCTTGGTGAATAGATATTGCCTTATGTAGCTTATAATAATAAAAGCATCCCTATTAATTACTGACACAACTCCACATCGTGTAGCACATTGTGTAGCTTACCTGTAGCAAAGAAAGTTCTGTATTGTATTTCTTCTGTGTCTGATCTTAATTTATGGATATGTATCATCCACCTGCTGCTGAGCAACATGTTTAAAATTTCATGTCAACTTTCACTTCACCATTCCTCCACATCCATATTCTTTTTTCACCTACATACACAAAAGCAAATTAATTCTCAACCCATGTTTCTGATTCATCATTTTTATTTATCAATAGGGCTAGGAAAAAATTATTAAGTCTGTGTAATATTCTAATAATTCCATGCATTTCAAACTATATGTAAGAAGACAAATATCCTTGAAGTATATTCTATCAGATAAATTTCATTGTTTATAATTCTGGAATTTACAAATTGCATAATCTTAAGGGTATTTTTAATGCCCTAAACTCCTTCACTGTTCATCCTTTAGTAATAATCATATTTAATTTGTAGGATTTTGAGATTCAGTAAAGACAATATCTACAATTACACATTGAAAAATCATTTAAGATTAAAACTGCAAAGATTTTGTGATGAATCCCAGAACAGAAATGGCATGACTGTTATTATGTGGCACTGTCTGACATAAATGAGAGCAGAATAACAAAAAATCTGAATGCTGTTAATATTACACTCTAGAATATAATTTCTTACAACAGTGGATTTATTTTATTGCACAACACTATTATCGCAAGATTATTTACATGGAATCTAACAATAAATTTGCATGTTAAGTAAGCTACTGACCACTTCTAAAAGGGAACAAATTAAAATTATGGTTCCAGGCAGATTATTATAAACAGAGTAAGGTAGCTGAGAACCATATTATCTAGAGAGGTACAATCTCTGTGTGTGCTTAGAGGCTAAGGTAAAAGGAAAATCCAGTTACTCTTATAGCTCCTGCATCACAATGAGGCACAGTCAATGCTGGCATTCAGAGAGATTATTCATGAGTTAGCCAACATTTTCTCAGTCCCAGTAGCCAACAACCAGTATGCTGGAAGGGGTCGGGGGTGGAACAGGACACCACAAAGACACTCTGAAAATATTTCAGGAGGTTTTGTTTGCTTCAACATGATTCACTTTGAATTTGGTTCTGGTGACTTCTATAAGCCTAAGTGCCATTTTCCTCTCCTTTCCATGACACATTCTTCCTCGCTTTAGTTTGATATCTCTGAGTGAATCAGGCAAGGCAGAGAGAGAGATTGCCTCAAAATAACTTTGTTGATATGATGGAAAAGCACAATGTAGTCAATCATGATAAATTTGTACACACTATGTAAAAAAGTACTGAGACTTAATGAACAGCAGCAGTCTTTGCTGCGTTTTGCCAAAGCAAACAATTTGATGAATTCTATTTTTATTAGCCAGCACTTTTTAAATTGAAGGTGGCTCAGATTAGTAGAGTACAATTACCGTCTTTCCTTTCTTTTTGATGTACCCATGAATTCTGAATTCGTGTATGCTAGTTAGTTGTTCAGAGCCAAGGGAACACCTTTTCTCATGATTAAACTGGTTTAAAAAGAATTTTGACTTGCTTAATTAGCTCTCTAGAACTGCTAATAACCACACATTCTCCAGTATGAACCATGTAATTATGGTGACATTAATTCTCTCCCTGGGATACTTCATTCTTGATGTGATCATTTCTATTTTTCAATTGCTGGCTGGTGATTTAACTTCTGCATATCAATGAGCACCATAAGATATGTTTGACTATTACTCAAGATTTTCAGTATCCTTCCATGTGATACAAAGATTATATCCACAAGTAAAAACAGCATGCTGGTTACTAATGATGAAGCATTCAAATAAAATAGAAAAAAAAAATCAGCTAAGCTTTTGAAATTCTTGTAATGTTGTGCAACTACTTTCAAACATCCCTGTATCAGCTTGCCAATCTGTCACATCCTTAACTGAGCAAGTTTGAAAAAGGAGGACAGTACTGTAGAAGAAAATATTATTTCCTTTACTTTAACAGACAGAAATCATATAGATTTCTTACAGAACACACAGCCCCTGTGATACCCTCTGCTTCTAGCCACATTGTAATTTTAAGGAGACCAGTATAGTTTAGTTCTAGTGCAAGTCAGGGTGGCTGAAAGCCTCAAAAACCTGTTTCTTCAAAGCTGGGGACTAGATAGACCATCCTTTTTCTTTTTGTCTAAAACAATCACTGCTACACTGGGAATGTGCTTGAAAGAAATGCTGGAGTTCTACATTGCTAATTATCCTATAAATATATTTACAATGATGAGTGAACACTGATTTTTAGATGTACAATATTGAAAATAAGAAGGCCTTAATGGATTGAAAAGACTCTTCTTTTGAGCTGTTGGAAAGAAAGCCAGTTATCCAATTCTCTGACATTTTCTAAACAGTCAAGCTACTTAGGTGCCGTAGTGACTTACATCTCTGCATGACACCTGTGTAGCTACTTTTTGCCATTTCATGATCATGGGCACGAGTTTTTAGTTTTCTTCTGAGTTGTTTCTGGGCATTGTGGCTTGCTTGATTTACTTCTTAGTCACTTTTATATTTCAGCGGACAGCCTTCAAAATAAAGACAGATTTCAAAAGACCTAGAATGAGTAAGTTCTGAGGAGTTTAACCTCCACCAATCATCTCAATTAATTTATTTATTTACCAATTAATTAATGATTCCTAAAATGCTATTGTCATTAGCTATTTCACATATGAAGACAGATTTATACACATTGTTAGGGCTTCTTAGGACACTACCAGACACCACTGCCTTTCCCAGTCTCCCCTGGAAGATCCGGATCCTGCACATGGACCCTGGAGAAAAATTTCATCTGAGTCTGAGGCCCTCAGTGCCCTGCCACATAGGAGTGCTGGTCTCCAGCCCTGTCCCCAGAATGGACTTCAGGGTCTTTCTCCAGCCCCAGTTCCTGCCACCTTGTTCTGTTCCTGGAGAGTTTTTGACACCAACTTGTCACTTGTTTTCCCAGGACTGTTAACACCCTGTTACAGCACCAGGTTTTGCTCACCACAGTCAGATCCTGAGGGATGGTGTCTGTCGGGAAGAGCTCTGCCAGGCCTTGGGTCACCCTTGGCTTGCAGCTCCCAGTCCCTTAGGGAGCAGCTGGTCCTTGCTGCACACTGACACGGATCTGAACAAGTGTACTCTGAGTGACATCCAATGTGAGTGGCTCCAGGGAACAAATTTTATTTGTAAATGGGTTTTGAAAGTGCACTGTACCCTCCTCTGTGTGACAGACAGCTTTCCTTTATGGAAGACTTCCTGTTAGACTTTGTGGTTCTTAATGTCCGGGGAGCATTATTCCAGTAATCATTATTATTCATTTATTATGTAATAATTGCAAACTTTTAGATACAGTGCAAGTCATACAACAGTGATTTTCTGTAAATGCCCACAACAAATCTGAATTTACTTCAGTATTAACTATCACTACTTCCACATTACAAATGAACAGATTTTTTTTTTTAATTTTTATTGCTAAGGCTTGTTATACAAATTTATATTGCCTGCATCTGGCTTGTTAAAATCTAATTTACAGTTTCTGCCTCAAGAGGATAAGAAGTGGTGTCTGTGTGCTTCATTGTATATCCCTGAGAAACAATTCACTTTTGAACTCTGAATTTTTTCACGGTAAATTGGTTCTGTGATAGAAGAATAAACACATTTGTTTTCATGAAATGCTGTAGGGTAAAAAAAACCAAACCACTATTTCTTTCTAGACAAATAAGCAATAATGGAACTAGTATCTGTATTAGAAGTTGCCATTTTGTAGTTTACACAGTAATACATAGGGGGTTTTTACCTTTAACTTCTAATTTGTTATCAAATACATGTTATTAACATCCATTTCCTTGAATATCATTTGATAACTAGAAACTTACAAAATAATAGTTTTGAGTTACCCGTCCACACAAAGGAGGGAGGGCGGTGGAGGGAGGATGCCCAACAACATATGAAATTTCTGCTCCAAATGGAAGTTCTAGGTACTTTCCTTTAAGCTTTACCTTCTCTAGTCTAAGCACATTTTCATTAACCAAATTTCTGTAAAAGCATTTTTTTTTTATTTTCTCTCATATCTAATGACTTCTCCAACTATCGTCTCTACTCCTGAATATATTTCTGTTAAGAGTCAGTTAACAAAAACACAAAGCACATTCTATCAACTTCCCACTTGCCTTATGCCAAGCAAGAAGAGTTGTCTTGATGATTTCTTGCCACTAATTTATCAGTAGCTTTTTAATTTAAAAAGGCGGAACTTTCAGGTTTATATTTACATACATGTAATATATTCACATCCTTCTCCATTTATAAAAATTGCCAGTCAAAAATACCCAAATGGTTTAAAATCCAGGTAGCAATGTTACCAACCATGACAGAATGGATTGTCTAGGACTCTGAGGAAGAAATATAAAAGTTGGGCTTTTCAAGAACCCTGGAATAGCAAACCTGAATGATAAGTGAGATAGTTATTTTGTCACTTGAATTGTTATTTTATGTTTAACTTAATCTTCTTAAACTACAAAGTAAATAATTCTCTAGAGAAGCAGTGCCTTTCTTGGAGAAGGAAGCACCTCTAAAGCACCTTTGCTTTAGATGGTTACAGTTCAGAATCTAAGCCAAGAACAAAAGAATGTCATAATTCCAGAGCAAGAAAAATGTCAAAGCTAGAGATCTGAGGCCCGGAGCAAAAACCATGTTAAAGACATAAAAGTTCAGAGACGCAAGCTGCCCACAAGTACAGAATATGGTTACAATCAACTTAGGTCTGGAATTGTGACATTAAACCAATAATTTCTTGTCACTGACATGGATCATTGTTACTACATTGTACCACAAGAAGGTGGAAAATCTGAGCTTCATAATTACTGGATAACTGTTTTTGTTGTGTTCCTTTGTATTGTTCTTAAGTGTAACCCAAATTTTATTCCTTCAGAGTAAGCTAATAAATTCATAAGACTTTCCAAGGAGCTAGAGAAAGGGCCTGCTTAGCAAAAAAAGCAGTAAAAAAAAGTCTAGTTGGAGACCAATGACTGGTGGTGTACTGGGGATCAATACCAGGTCCAGTCCTGTTTAACATCTTAATTAATGATCTGGGTGACAGAGCAGAGAGTACCTTGTAAAGGAATAAAGGAAATTAGTTGCTTAGTGTAACTCAGCATTAGTAGCTAGCCATGCTGGAGCCTCAGGCCACACACCATGAACTTTTTGCTGGATACACTGAGCTTTTTACCTACTTAAGAAAAAGAGATGCCCAGAGCCTGTTCATACTGGAAGACAAGACATTAAGGAAGGCCACCATCCCACCGGCACAAGCTGCAACATTAGAGGTAAAAAGAGAAATGGTCCACCTAGAGATAGTGAACAGAACAAATGGAGAACCAGAAGACCCCAGTTCCTAATATTTTTATTGGATTGAACTGTCACATAATGGGTAGGAAACTTAGATTGTAAGGATATAACTACCACGGGATTTCTTTGTTTGGGGTGCCTTTCTGAGACAATAGCAGTACACTGTAGGTTGTGCGGATATCCAGAGGGACCTCAAGAGGGCAAAGAAATGGCAGGAATCTCAAAAGGAGAAAGATTGCTGCACTTGATGAGGAGCAATAAACTGGGGGCTGCTCAATTTGGCAGAAAAGAGCCTGGAGTTCCTGGTGATCCCCAGGTTGGACATGAGCCAGAAATGTTCTGTTGCTGCTAAGAAGGTAACTGGGGGTATCCTGGGCTTTGTCACACAAAATACTGCCCACAGGTTGAGGGAGGTGATCCTTCACCTTTATCCAGCAATGGTGAGGCCATATTTGTATGACTGCATCTATTTTGGGGGCCTGAGGGATACTATTGAGAGTTCAGAAAAGCACCACAAGGATCAAGCAGGGACTAGAGCACCCCACAGAAGAGGAAGAGCTGAGAGAGCTGGGACTGCTTTGCCTGAAGAAGGCTCTGGGGAATCTTATCAATGTATATAAATACCTGGAGGGTGCAAAGAGGACAGAGATAGGTTCTTTCCAGTGGTGACCAGTGACAGGACAAAACAAAAATATAATAAAAACACTTTTTTTCCTTTTTTCTTTTTCTTTTTTTTTCATGTAACTGGTTCTATTAAGTCTTGGGAAGATAAAAATCTCACAATCTATACAACTGTAGGTGGAGAACCACTGTTGGACTGCAGCAAGATTGCTGTTCTTTTCATGCTGGATTTAGTATATGCTTGGAGACAGGAAGTGAGGTCAACCTCAGTATCTCTACAAACACATTTATAGGTTTGGAGTGGGATCCATTAGTCAAATCAAATTAAATGGCTGCAAAGAAAGCTTTGGAAACATTTGGAAAAGTGATTTATCAGGTAGGTTTGGTAAGGTGTGCCAGCTCTACAGAACACAGGGAAGGCTGGTAAAAGACTTAAACAGTTTTCTCACTAATAGCTATTCAAAATTGCATTCTCACAAGTTTATATTCTCATATACTGGTTAATATTCAGTATCACCTAATATTCAGTTTATCAGCTGATAATAAAGAACATTGAATTTCACCTATTTTCTGATGGACCTGTGAAAAGAATTGTCCTTCCTTAAATACACAAAATCATGCAATTAAATTAATTTAGACACCATTTTCTTAGCTGAAAGCTATTGATAGATCTTGAATTGTTGTCAGTGGCAATTCTAAGGCTTTTCGTTTGTGGTTTATTATCATTATTGTTATCATAATTATTATTACAGTGATTATTATTTCCACATCTTTTAGCCAAAATGCTATACACATCCATAAAAACTGATTGTTTACAACAGATTCTTCCTTACAATGCACTCACTGTTTCCTTTCTCATCTCTTAAATAAATGTACCGACTGCAATTGTATAATTTAAATTGCAACAATTTAATCAGACAAAAAAGTTATTGTTAGAAATTACCACAAAACTCCCCTTCCAAAAAACAACACTTTCATTTAAGTCAATCCTATAAAAAAAATTTTCTTCAAAAAAGATCAGACCAGATAAATCTGTTAAATTATTCTGTGTTTTATAGCAGCAGGAGTTTTAGCTTGTTATAAATACATATTATAATATGTATGGCTTTTTGCAAGTATTGAGATGAATGCTATATGTATAACATTAAAATGGCTTTGCTGTAATAGGCGATATATTATGTTTATAGTATGTCTGCCTAGTTAGGATAACATTCAATGAACAAATGATGGGGACCCTGCTGATTATCAACACTCAACGCCTGTGGAAAGAAGGAGCCAAAGCCCAGATTAAAAGATGATAAGAATTAAAACCACAAGCCAAGAAACATGCATGATCTAGAAAGGCGGATCCAAGGACTGGCCATGCAAAATAGTTCCTGGAAAATATAAACTAGTTAATAGAAAAGTTTGAATATGCATAAAGTCTATGAATATGCATCAAGTTGATGCAATAGAAATGGTATATAAAGGGTGTTTCCAAAACACCAGGTGTGCTATTGGCAGAGAGCAAGAACATGGCCGTTTTAACCCTTTGTTTTATTGTCTTTGTTTCCTATTGTCTTTTTTTTTATTATTAAACCTCTTAAAATTTACCAGAACAGTTTTCACAAGCTGAAAGTCCTACATGTATGGCAATTTAGATGTTGCATTATCTGCCTCTTTCTCGAGGCTGTCAAACAGATGTTTCAGCTACATCTGTTTTTTGAGATTTTAAAAGGAAGTTCTTAATTTAGTCATACAATTTTTAAGATTAAATTTAAGAAAGAAAACATGACATTGCAAATTAAATTAGAACGGAGCCTTTGTAATAATTAAAAAATGTATTCATCAGAGGATTCATCCCTCCGTTTTTAATAATGCAGAACATGCATGTAAACTAAATAAAATGTATATTTTTGGCTGTCCTTGTATCAGGTGGGATTATGGGCTTTTAATTAATGATTTGTCCTATCAGCCAATTATTTATTTTGTTTCAACTATCCATGATACTATCCAAGAGTGGTATTGTCCAGACTCTACATCCATGGCTTGCAGCTGACCGGGAGGTGAAAGGCGCCTGGGAACAAAAGAGCATCCCTCAGTCACCCAGCGGGCAGAGGTGAAAAAGCATCGCCAGAAGTTCTCATTCCCCACCTGGTCCGCTAAATGTGCATAAAGGACTCGTGCAGTGGTGGCGAGAGGAAAGCTAATATCTTTACAGACAGTTCTGTGGGTGAAGGGATGGGTGTTAACATCATTGAAACGGGTCTCAGTGTCTCTAATAACTGCAGGCAGTAGGTTTGTTGCAGAGCCCAGTCAGCTTGGCTCCTGAAACAGACAAGTGGGTGTGCACAAGCCTGAACTTCTGAACTTTGGGGTGAAATAGAAGGTTCAAGGGGGATATGTGGTAGGTGGCTTGGCAAGACTGTACCTTCCAAGCACCTCAGCCGATGGGAAAGGAAGAAGCTGGGGACTTAGGATAAACGGAGGCTGCGCCCACCAAAACCCCGAGAGAAGAAAACCCCACGGGCGTGTGCCTCAGTGGACTCTCCCTTTATTCGAATAAAGCTGCAGGACTCCTCTGTCTCCTTTTTTGGACACAAATCTCTAGCGTTTGTACATTTTCATGCCAGTAGCACCTCCCGGGGAGGGACAGCTTTGCTAATGGAGCCTGGCAGGCTCCCGCCCAGCTGTCCCTGGCACCTCGCCGCTGCCCCGAGCAGTGCTGCAGCCCCCTGTCCGTCCTGCCATCCCCTCTCGGCCTCCCCTCGGGAGCGGATTCCCGGCCGGGCCCGGGGGCCGCTGGCAGCGCCCAGCGCCAGGTGCCCGTTGCCAGGCAACGCCCGCCGGGACCCCCGGAAGGCGGGCCCGGCCCGCGGCGGCTCAGCCCTGCGGGGGCGTCGCAGGGCGCCTCGGGTAAAGCTGGGGCTTCTCCTAATTTAATTTTGGTTTTATTTTTACTTTTGCAGCGTGCGTATAATGTGTGAGTTACAGAGCTATTATTATCTAAAGTCAGAGCCAATCATAAGCAAGCAGCTGGTACGTAGTTACTATCACAGTGGTGTGTGAACAGAAGTGGGGTTGGGGTTTTTTGAGGTATGGCATGGTTTTCTTAATTTAGCAAGATTTTAAAAAATGCTTCAGCTAAATTGCTTTCTTACATTTTTAGGTTGTTTTTTTTAAAAAAAAAATTCTTTCACTGATTGTTTTTATTTCTATATCAGGTTAATTTAAGAGTAAAAGCAGTGCTTGAATAAAAGGTCAGTGGTTTAGCTTTGACACTGACCACAGGAAACACTACCTCCTTTACAGACTTTCTTTTTAAAGAAAAATTTGTTGTATTTAAACCAAGGTTTTTTTGGGGTTTTTTTGGGTTTTTTAGGGGATTTTTTGTGGGGTTTTTTGTGGTTTTTTAATTTTATTTTATTTTATTTTTTTGGATGTCATAAACTAATGTTCTATCAAATATACTTTTTATAAGGTACAACCCCAAATGCTCAGATTAGCATATGTAGACACTGGTCACCATGCCTAATTAAGCTGAAAGACTATTGAAGGTCCAGGTGTTTCGATCACTGAAAAACCATAACACAAACCAACCCAATCCCACAATGCACTACACCCAAGAATGAACCCAAATAAACATTATCATGCCCCCCAGCATGATGGAATAAGCATAAGAAGTCCAAGGGTAGGCATATATTGTCGTGTATTATAACCATGAATATATGGCTTTACTGAACTATAAAGCAATAAACATCTTATGTATACTGAGTTTATAAGCAAAGACCTAGTTCCTTATAATCAGACATTAGGCTAATAAAGCAGACATATAAAGCTCTGCTTTGCAAGGTGGCTTAGGGTGACCATTTCTTTTTCTTACGGATGTTATCGTGGAAAGAGTGGGGAAAAAAACCTCACAAATTATTTTATTTAAGAGTTTGCAAATTCAACAGATAACCATGGGAACTTAATAAGAAACTCCATTATTTATACACATGTGAATTTTTTTTTCTTTAAAGCTTATTCAGGATAGAAAAGAAAGCTAATGAAAATAATGGCATTTATTTTGCTTCTGTTTCTAACTGAAGTACTTACTCATAAGTAAGGATTTGCTGAAATGGCAGTAAAATATCCAAAGTAAATCAGAATAAAGGTTTGAGATTTGTATTGAATCAGAACTGATATTCACATTTTATAATGTCAGAATCTTATCAGAAGTTCTTGTAGTGGTTACTGATGACACCCAGAAACTCAGGTATTGGGAACCCATTTTATTAAGATATGTACAAGCATGGAATAAAAGAGAGTCCCTGCCCCAAGCTATTTGTAGAATAAATACACAAAACACAATGTGTAGAAAATGGAAGTATGATAAAATAAAAATTAAAAAAATTAAAAATTTTCAAAGGCTACACAGCACAAGTATTATGAAAGTAGAAAACAGTCCCTCAATTCTGATCCACTGTATGCCTAGACCACTTTTGGCACAGATTTCAGTAGATTGTCATCCTATATAATGTTCTCTTTCAGAGCCTGACTGCAGTTGACTGAGAACAGAAACACAGAGGCTAGATTTACCTGGTCCATGTCTACAGAGTGTGCAAAGCCTTATGCAAAACAAAAGTTGTCTATTGCAGCCCAAGCAAGAGAAAGTCAGATAATAAGCAGAAGGATTATGCCACATCTGGATGTATTGCCTTCCATGACAAAGGAGGTGTTTTCCTGTGCTTTCACCACTCATATTGCTACATCATGTGTAAAAAATGTAGCATTTCAGAGGTAAAGAACTGATATACAGGGACACCTGTATTTTCTAGGTGACCCAACAAAATGTATTACTGTGATCTAGGTTTTAACCTCATTTATACTTAATACATACTTAAAACTAAGTATACCTAATCCCTGTAGGCCAGGTTTCTAAACAGTTTATTTTCTTTTCCTTCCCCTTAACTGACTGTGGGTAGGAGGTGTTCTGATACTCCGTGATTTTCCTGTTTTCTTTGAAACTTTAAGCTGTTTTAAGCTTGTCTTGAAAACATTTTTCTTTTTCCATTTTTTTTTTTTTTTCCCCCTCATGCTTTTTCTCCTTTAGTACTTTTTAAGCATCAGAGCTGACTTTTAACTAGCTTTTCAACTTGCATAGCACTGCAGCTCATTGTATTTCACTTTGTCAGGCTGGGTCAAATCTAGCTCACTGTCGACACATGATTTATTCCAATTACCTTTGCTTTTTATTTCCACATGTTGCCTACTTTTACAAGGACTTCTTAATACAGTGCTGCTAAAATGTTTTGGGGACATCTGTGAATAGTATTGCCTTTGTGGCTGCAAGACACAGACAGAAAAAATATGTACTCAAGTGAATACTTCTTAGTAAATACAGGCAGTAAAGTCAGATAAGTCTCAACTTCTCATCCTGAAATGACCACCTGCTGTATTGATTTTTTCATCAGCCGAGTCAGTAAATGTTTTAGTTGTATATATTCTTTCTTACTGGACATGTTATGTTTTGGAGATGTCTTTTTTCACTGTCTTTGATTTTCTATACTACCCACCACCAGAGTGAAACAAATTGATCAATGACACTGCTGCTACAAGTATTGCTGATCATTTGTTTTAAGCTCTAAGAGTCTGTTTTCCACAGGCACTCTTGATCTTTCTTTAACTTTTGCAATCCACTTTATCTGGACAGCTTCTTTACTTTGCATTCTACTATGTCATTTATGTCCTGTTTCGATGATTATTCCTTCCATTAGATCTTCTGTGGATCTTCTTCCCAATCACTTTCTCTCATGATATTGACGGAATCTTTTTCTTTTATCTTTGTTAGAACTTTCTGTGCCAGCAAGTCAGTATTATATTTCCTCAAGTCTCACTATCTAGCCTGCCCAGTATCCTGTTTCTCTCTGTCTATGACACATTCTCAGGAAATAATGCTAGTCTGTTCTTTTCTTTTGAATCTTTCTTGCAAAATCATCATCTTTGACACCTTCGTATCATCTTACACAACTAACTAGTCACCCTGTCATTCACTTCACAATCTTGTGGTTATTTTTTGCTTTCTGCTTTTCTTTCCATAAACCTTACTAGATCTCATTATTTCATTCTTAGTAATGTTTTGAAATCCCATTTCTTACATCACTTTCACACTATAAAATCCCAGGACACTCACTGGTCTTTCTCATATGCTGTGACCATTTTCTCAGTTCTGACTCTGTACCACTCCTTCAGGCTAAATGTGCAGCAGAAGTGAAACTGCTTCGAACTGGTTGCTCTGTCACTAAAGCCTTTAATCTGGTTCTTGTGGCTTTTCATTCACTCCTACCTTTAGCATTAAATTTATACTTACTGAACTCTATATACTTTATTTTTCTAATTTTCACAATTAAAAATGTATAAGTACAAGAGAAATCTGTACATTCCAGTAGAACGTTCAACTGTGAAGCCTTTAGTGCCTTTAGGACTGCGCAAGATAAATGCCAGAGAATTCCTGAGGATTCTGTTACTTGTGTCAGGATGGCCCTGAGACCATAGTCACATTCATAGAACAATATTTGAGTACTGAAATCTGCACTAATTTCAAATGAAGTTTTAACAGAATACTTTTTCCTGCTGTTTTTAAAAAACATCTTTTTCTGATATTTATTATTGACTCCATATTCTTAGATTAAAGGTCTCAATTAGATTTAACTATTCTATGTTGAAAATTATAGTCCTGAGATAATTTTAGCTAATTTTAGTGTTCTGTGGAATATTATCCTGGAGCATGCGACTGTCTATCTTTTGTGTTGCTGCCTTGTGATAGGAGTTTACAGCCTCCTTCATTTCCTATAGATTGGAGGAACACAGATTTGGTATATGTATACACATATTTTGAATTACTCTTTGCGGGTAACCTTATTGTACTGGATATGAAGCAGGAAAAAAGAGACATTGGTCAGGTGAAAGAATATATATAAAATGGATTCAGCAGCTAATACTGATGACAGCAATATATACACAAAGAAAAACATCAGTCAAGAGAACAGAGACAAATCTAAAAGAAACACCTTTGAGGGGTGTTTCTTTTCAAAGAAACAATGAAGGGGGAAATTTCTTAGAACAATAACCCCACATATTCTACTGGGATGTGGAAAATGTTCTTACTCAAGGATACATTTGGTATTCTAACTTCAGCAGAATTTGTGATAAAGAATTGACAGTGAGAAAGACAGACAATTGTTACACATGCATATGCTGAGGTGTTGAGTTTTCTGAGAGTAGGTTTGGGTTTTTTTGTTTGTTTCTCTGGATTTTGATGTTTTTGTTTGTTTAGTTGTTCGGGTTTTTTTTCCTTAGATTCTATAGAGTAGCTGCTGGTGATTCCAAAAAACAATCAGATTCAAAACGAAGCACGTGCAATATAAGAATCTTTGAAAATAACATATCACAGAGGAATTTTATTTAAAAAATAAAATTAAGGCATTAAAATTAATTAAATGTAACTGAATTATGACCAGTGAAATTCATTAAATGGTATGACAGAAGTCTCAAATATGGACAGTATCATTATGAAACAGGTGCTTGATTTTTTCAAAAGTTACACTTTTTTTTTCCCCCAATAAAGTGTCCAGATTATGGCTTGGCTTCCTTTTTTTTTAATAACAGTGAAGCCATTAAAACTGGGATAAACAATAACTCTACTGTAACATTTCTCATTTTGAAGGATTCTGAAATAAATTGCAAACATAATCCAATATAATGTGAAGTGAAGACCTCAATCATCATGAAGACAGACACAGTTTAAAACAGAAAAAAAAGATATAGCATACATACAAAAATTCAGAGGCAGTTAAAACTGATAACAAAGATAACAAAACTGCTATGTCCAAAACACTCAATTTGACAGTGCTGTTCTTGCAAGATGGTCAATGTGTTTTAGTCATGAGCAGTGTAACTGATTGGCCCAAGGGGACTAGAAAGATGGTTTGTTTCTGGTTGTCAGCATATTTTTATTGTGACAAGGTTTTTTTAACAGCTATAATCAACTCAAGCAGCAACAGTTTCTCTGCTTCACAGCTCCAATAGCATGGTAGTGCTGTCTTCTTTCCCATCATGTTGCCATGGCTGTCAATGATTCAGTAAAACTCCAGAATCAGAACTGTCACAGAAACAGAAATATAAAATCATATTGTCAAACTGCCAAAGATTTCACTGCAATCATATTTTCTTGTTAAAGCCAGTCTGGTTTTAAATGTCCTAATCAATGGAACACTTTCTACTTCTCATAAGGAAGCTACAGAAAAACGTTAGAGACATTCCCCATATACACTTTTTTTTAGTACAGTCCTCTTTTACTGCCTCAGAGGGAGCTGTACTAATATCTGAATCTCCAACTGGTCTTATAATCAGCTAATTTTGTGGAGTTGCTCTAGGTTCACCTACAGCTATGCACCACATAGTTGCTCACTCCCTCTCCTCCATACCCCAGCAGGCTGGAGGAGAGAATAGGAAGACCAAAACAAGAAAACTTGTAGGCTGAGATACAGATCCTTTACTAAGCAAAGGAAAGAAAAAAAAACCCAAAAAACCAGAAACCAACCAACCAACCAAAAATAAAACAACAGAAAAACACCACAAAAATGAAAACAAAAGCAAAGCACTTTTTGAGCTTTGAGTGAAGTGGTTTTTGAGCAACCTGTGCTACCTTCCTTCACCCTTCCATCAAAGAAAAAACCCAAAAGCCTCCACTGCTTTTTATTGCTAAGCATAATGTTATATAGCATAGGATATCCCTTGGTGATCTCAAATCAGCTTCCCTGGTTGTATTCCCTCCCAGCTTCCCACACACTCCCAAAATACTTGCTGGGGAGAATGTTGGAAAGGAGAAACGACTTCATACTAGGGAAGAACTGTTCAGCAATAGCTAAAACATATTATCAATGATGGTTTAGTCACAAATGCAAAGAGTGACACCATACTGGCTGCTGGGAAATAAATTGACTCCATCCGTGCCAGACAGTTACCCAAATACACAGGCCTTCATCTTACCTTGAGCTAGAGAATAATGGTATTAGTTTTGTAGCATGGAGATCACAGCATAATCACCAAGTGCAGTCTTATTCAGTAAGATTTCAGGTGCACTGGTTAGACACTTTAGGAATTGTTGGAAAAACATGTAAATTGCTGGATATATGTTTATTCTAGATGTTTATTGCTCTGTGGGACTCCTAGGAAATACTGGGACCATCACAGTGGAGGGGACAGTGTAATCTCTATACAACTGTTGGCAAAAAATCTATTCAGCCCTGTCTCACTGGAGAGATCTCTAACAGCTTTCAGACTGCTTTAAACCACAAGAGTAACACAAAGTATATTTAGTGCAGCTAGTACTACTAATACTAATACTACTACTATTAATAATAATAATAATAATGAAATTTCTAAAGAATTTCAACTTTTCTGCATTTTGGAAAGAAAAACTTTTGGTTCCAAGAAGATATTTTACCTGTATTTGCAGATGCCTGTAGTCATAGTATGAGAACACTAAAAAGCCTTAGCCATGACACCATAAGCAAATATAATGGTACTACAATCAATAGTTCAATGTCTAGGGCACAACCATTTCAATTTTATAAGCCTATACACGACAAGTATCTTTAAATCAGTTCAGCAGTTGACAGGAAGCAGTATTCCAGTTTAGTACCAATTCAGTGTTTATATAAGTTGCATTTACAAGATATCCTAGTCATTGAATTTTGTACAAACTGAAGTTTATGTACTGCAGCAAACATCTTGGA